AGAGTGAAAGGCAACATCATTAAGGAATAATGAATTTACAAACCTTCATTGTACTGTTCATTAATATGTGTTTATGTGAGAAAAGGTAATTTTGTTAGTTTATTGTCAGAAGTCACAGGTTTGTTTTCAGTGAGTGCTACAGTTAAAAAAAGGGCACTTTAGTCACCACTATTACATGACTTCCTATACACACCATTAAGTGTGTATTAGCAAGTAATAGCAGTGGACACATGTTAGAAAAACACTTTCTCCCGCTCTGACATCCCTGCCTACTCCTACTACTTTTTCCTTCTCCTCTTGCCATCCCCTCTAGCTTTTTTTCTTCTTTCTTCCCCCGTTTATTGCATTCCTGCTCACCAACCCTGCCTCTGTTCACTCGTATCCCCATCTGTGTTTATGTGTGTGTGTGTGTGTGTGTGTGTGTGTGTGTGTGTGTGTGTGTGTGTGTGTGTGTATATATATATATATATATATATCTGTGTGGCCACGTAGGACCCTGGAGTTTGGGGATTGGTCCGCCCGCCCACTCACTTCACTGTTAACTATGTAGCTACTGGTCAGCTCCAGTGTACTACGAGCAGAAAACTGAAGGGAAAAAAGTCTAAAGTCTAAAAACATTTAACAGCACAGTTACCATGGAAATGGTACCAAGAGCTGGAGTGAAATGTGATCAGTTTTACTAAAAGTGGAGTTGTGGAGAAGTGGGGCACTTGAGCGTAACCCCCACTGTCTTTTTCCCTAGAGTAAGCTCAAACTCACTTTGCACTTCATATACAAAGCCGGTAATAGAATGGGGGTTCAATAATGACAAAGAAAGTGTACACTATTTATCCTTAAGGAAACACTGTCTGGTGTTGTGTTGTGCCCAGTAACCCCTTTAAAGCCTAACATTTCCGGCCAGTTTAGTGTTTATGTTTTTAAACTAACACAGTTTATAGTTTGATTTAAAATATAAACTGTGAGATGGTCAGGAGTTGTGGGATTTTGAAGCTATCAGATGAACTCCAGTAACCTCACTGACACCAGCCATCATGTTCCAAATGTGTTCAACTGAATTGATTTTTATTAACTCTATGTAAATGGAATATCTTTACAGTATGTTTTTCATACAGTTACTGTATTACAACCGACAGTGTTTAGGTTAGTTTGCTGACATTTGTATTCAAGCTGCAGAAACTGGGTGTTTCAACCATTTTTCCATGACTTTTATCCAACTGTATTTAAGCTAATTACTTTAACTGTTTATTCCAGAGCTTTTCAAAGTCTGAGACTGTGGGCATCCCCTCAGACAAAGCTTACTTTAGTTTACTTGCTCAATTTTGCTCAATTCCTGGATGGCTATGGGGTCATTATGATGTTATTTGATCCCATACACACTCAACAACTGAGCTAAGATAGTCTAATATTGTTGTCTGACATAACCTCAGACCACACCAAATATGAAAGGTCTGTCCTTTATTTGGCAAAGTGGGAAAAACAGTAGAATTCCCCAAATCTCTAAACTATTTCTCTAACCAAATCACACACATTTAGGGTATTATAAGTGATCTCCCGTTGATAAGTAATGTAATAATTTCACTTCCATTCACTGAGCCTCCCGTGAAACTGTTTGGATTGCCCCTGGGGAAACAGGGGAAAACATCTGGTTTATCCTTTACCTATTTAAACTGTTTGGTTAATTTTTAACACTCTCCCTTGCACACTGGTTTTCCTGCACTCTCAATCCAAAAACATGGTGTTTAGGGTGTTCCATCCACATATTGAGTCAACCGACATCTATTTATTCATAATTTCTATTCTTATTTCCCCCCTGAATAACTTGGCCTACTCCTCATTTTCCACATACCCCCTAACAACGGCAGAAGTGCCCCCTTGGGTACAAGTAACCCTGGTTGGGAATCACTGCTCTACTGGGCACCCTAACAAACCCAGGGAGTGTTTCTTCAGCAAAGCAAATGCCACATTAACATCAGCTTCAGGTATTCACTAAATCCCTCCTAATATAATAACTGAATGGCTCTAATTATAATCCTGCATTGAAAGAAAATAATGAAAACAGGGGCTTTTGGGAAATGACAAAATTTTACTAAATGGACACAACCTTATTCTTCCACTGCACGGTTAACCAACATAAACATTTAACAAGCCTTGTTGCCATGGAATCATACTAAGGCTCGGCTCCTCACTATTACCCATAGCAACTCTGACTGATAGGCTGACTAAGTGGCTGGATGAATATCTGACAAGCTGGTTGGCAGAAAAGACTGGCTGACTGCTTGTAGCATGTTTAAAGGGATTATATGAATGGGGAAAATAGCTCATTATGAACTCCCTGTTGAACAAACTCCATGCGGTTTTATTAATAGCCAAAATATGCATCCAAGAAGGGAAAAATATAAAGAAAGATAGGAAATAATGAAGGGCGAAAAATTTAAATATGGATTATAACATGAGTCAGAACAAGAAGGCCGACACGGCAAGAAAAGGAGGGAACGATGAAGCAAATGAAAGATTAAGGGAGCGAAGGAAAAAAGGAGTGAAATCCAAGGCCACATGCTCCATGTCTTTTGTCAGTGAGCAGGGTTCTCCCAATACTTGCTCTGCTCCCTGACCGGCCTCTCCAGTTACACTGTTTAGAAGCACGTGCTCAACATTTCCCCATCTAAATGAGCCCAATGTGTCTCCATCAGTGAACCGACTGTAAATTAATCTCTTTGTTGTCTAACAGCCTAGGCAGAGACGGATCGGGACAATGGAAAGGGGGGAACCACCGTGCATGAAAGCGAAAAATAGAGAGATGTGTGGCCAGAAATGTGAAATAAATCATTAATATCCCATTTACTTGAGTATAACAGGATATACCTGTGATGTGACAATAATAAATCATTACAACCCAAGTCTCTCTGTCACTGCGACACCTGTTTTTGAGCCTTTTTGGACTCTTTGTGACCCTGACGAGTGAAAAGCAGACTACCAATAAAGCATTAGTGCATAAAAGCATGACTTTAGAGGACTGGATTAGTGAATGAATGATGAATGTGAGATGAACAGAGGAACGAATCTACGCTGAGAAAGAGAAATATTTATTCTTGAAAGTGTACACTGTCGGCTATCAATCAGCAGGGCTCTGGTACACACAAGGAATCAAACATAAGATTATACCTATCCCAAACAGATTCTAAAAAGATTTGTATTTTAAAAACCACTGAGTGCACAGTACTGCTAAGATTTTCTCCTGCATTAATTTACTCATACTTTTTTGACTCTGTGAGGCTATAACGCATAGCATACTAATCCATTATTGGCAGACAATCAAAGCACATTGATTTTAAAATCCTCTCTAGGCCATTTAATCACCTCTGCTGGCATGTGACTCTCTGTAGTGTCCCTGCTACTTTGTTATTATCCACATCTCCCGGGATATCCCTGTAACTGCCGTTCAAACCTCAATGAAAGTGGGATACAGACAACAAAAGTGCCAGATAGAGAACAATTTGCTTTTTACACCACATGGTATCAGTTTTGAACCCTCCTTGAGTGAATTTACACTCAGGTTTGCTGTGAATGTGGCTTGAAATAATATCTGGTTAGAATTAGTTACAGTTTGTCTGTTGGATTGGATTTGGGACTTCCAGGTGGGAATGTGGAGACAGCCAGACCTCCTGAAGATTCTCTGTTATTAACAGCCAACCTTACTGCAACAAGACAACAACTCCACCACTATATCAACAGCCAGCCCATCCCTGTATATAAATATGTGCGCGTCAGTGGAGGAAGAAGCTAAGTAGAAAGTTGGGACTTTTTTCTTTTACTCTAACAAGCTTTTTATCCGCTATAGAGTAGCCTAACCTGGAGATTTTGCTTCCAGCAACCAGCCTCTTCCTGCCTTTTCTCTCCGTTAGCCTACTAGGAATTCTCCAAACCTGTTAAGTCGTTGTATTCCTCAAGCTAGGAATAGAATGTGGGTCAATGCCAGCTCAGTAGAGTCGACATGAGCTTACCAACTACTGACGCCAGCAGCCACACCACCGCTGCCGCTGGGCTACAGTATAACCACAGGGCTCTCCGTGTGTCACTATGACCAAGGATTTGAGGTGTTGTAGTGCAGAGGGAGTGTGAAGTTATGCACAGTCATTACTACAGCCAGTGAGTTCATTAAAAGGAGCCCCCCTGACAAGATTTATGACTGGACCCCCCACCCGGGTACATCAGTATCACCTCATTTGTCTCTTGTTTGCCCTCACCACCCCTGTCTGATTAAAGTGTTTCCCACACCACCACCTACCTTTTGCTCTACTTTAAAGCTTGCAATTAGAAGAGACAAGAAAGGAGGGAAGGGGGCGTGCAACAACCTAGATAAACCAAAGCCACAACCACATAAAAAGTCAGTTTTTCTCTTTATCTCCATCTCGAATTATCACTATTAAATACTGATGCTGCTAATTTAATTTCCCTCCCAAAAAACAGCAGCTAAACAATGCATTTGTCGCCAAAAGTATGACATAAACGCTAATTTCCAGTCAGCCATTAGTATTGGATTAAATTAATTCACAGGTGTGCTTTAAAACAGCTCCAGCCAATCAGAACAGAGAGCAGGGGCTGTCTATTTCACGATGAAGCTATAAAGCTTCACCAGCTACATTTAGCCTACCTGTGAGTGAGGGGCTGAAGTTTGCCCACAAGGCGTTTATCTGACTATAAGACATTAATTCTTACCATGTTCAAACTCTTTCCCAATTTCCGTCTTCATTACATCATCTACTTACATATGGCCCACATACTATAAGGCTATAGAACAAGCGTGGCTAGGCCAAAAGCAGCGACAAAGGGCCTATTAATGTTTCTTTATCAACAGTTTGCTTTAGGACTAGACAGAGGGACAAGCCCCAGAGCTGATAAACTGACTTATTAGGCTATACCGTGGAGCCCAATTACTTAGCAGAGCCGCCTGATCGATACGTTCGATCGGTTTCGAGGCCGGTTATTGTTAGTGTCTTTACCTCACAGTCGTAGAGGTCCGTTAGCTGGTCGATAATCCACTCCTCCAGGTTCAGTCTCTTCCGCAGCTCCTTACGGTCGTATTTGACGGTTACGCGTCCCTGCTTCCGAACGGGTGTCTCCGGTTCCTCCGTGGTGCCGGCCGGCGTCTGGAAATATACCCGGGGTTGAGGGCTCGTCTCCGGGCTCGTTACAGCAGCCATGGTCGCTCGGTTTGGGGAGAAAAAATTCGCCCCCCGGAGGTGTAGAAGTGTGAAAGGGGCGACGGAAAGGAGGCGAAGCGGTCTCCGTGCGTCTGTTCGCTTTTTCCGCGCTGAAAAATCCCGGTTGAAAAATGTGTGACTTGAAATCCCCCGAAGAAGAAACAACGTTGGACCTGATGCTTTTGTTGTCCAAAATCGCTCAAAGGGACATTGGCAGTGGCCCGGTCGCTTCCACACAACAAAAAGGACCGACGGGTACGGTGAAACGTAAAGTGTAACCGGCTTATTGGGCTATTTACAGCATGCAAACTCTGCTTGTATATAAAAAAAAGAGAGGACAGCAGTAGCAGAGCCGGCCTTAACTCTTCATTCAGTTCAGTACAAAGAGAAATCACACGTCTCTCTCTCTCTCTCTCTCTCTCTCTCTCTCTCCCCCCCTCTCTCTCTCTCTTCTCGCTCTCTCTGTCCCCACGAGAGGTGCGTGCGCGCTCTCTGACTGGACTCGAGCGCATCAGACGCAGCGCGACTAAAAAAAAGAAAAAGAAAATAAATATGTCTTGTTTTTCTAACTTTGAAAACCAGTTAAACACAAATTTTCTTTCTTTTTTTCTCATACATACTTCCCCCAGCCCTCTCTTTCCTTTAACGTTCACATGTGAGCCCCTCTGCTCTCATTTTAACGCAGTTCACCGCATTTGGCACGAGGACAAATGCTTTTTACTGCTAGCATCACCAATTATAAACATCAAAGATGGATATTTGATTTTGTCAGTATGCCTTTGCCCTACTTTAAAAGACTTAAGTCCTTACAATGACCCATTCAGACCTATTCATTCCTATTGACTTTTTGAAATGGCCTACTATATGTCGTTGTGTTTGGCCTGCCAGAGGCAACACATTATACACTGAAGACCTGCATTGTGCAGCACTTTGTCCATACACACTGTCTGCACAAATTGCCAGTCCATAACTGCTTCAAACACTTGGTATTTCAGTGCTCATTTGACTAGTTACCAACAGTTAAAATCTCTCCTGTGGAATGTGTGAAATGTATAAGTGCAAAATTTAACACCTCTGTTTGGGTAAAGAGATTTCACAATATACAAAAATGACTATTGTATGTATTTCTGTTTGTAAAAGAGTGAGTTTCTTTTCTGCACACTTTACTGTAAGCAGAGAGCAGCTAGTATGGGTTTTAGAATTTAACTTTCATGTTTCATCTCTACGTTACAACAGAGATAAGAGCACTGGATGTGTTCCATTAACAGGAAACCAGTCCCGTTTTTTCACAGTCTGCCTATTGTGTTATAACAGTAGGGAACCCCACACCCCGGCTAGGCTGGTTAATAACAAGAGTTTTAATAATAATAGGAGTGTGAAGTGAAGGGGGAGGTAAAGAGAGGGAGAGCGAATTCATAAGGTCTGTCTCTCCCCCTCCTTTTGAGTGTGTATGTGGGTGTTCACATCTGTCAGCTTGCTCATATTGGTGTGTGTGTGTGCCAGTGTGTGTGTCGTACGGGCCTGAGCAGCCATTTCACAGACAACCATGGCAACAAGACATAAAAAAGCTGAATTATTCAGTGAGCATGTCTGAAACTTACAGTTGAGTAAGCACAGACAGACCAACACACACTCTCACACACAACTTAAACATTCAGGTGTGCTTGCATATAAAAATACTCTAGTCTCACACAACACACATGCCGTCACTGTTACACAAAAACATCCAAAGTGTAAAAGTGTAAAACGCAAATGCAAACTAGCTGGACCTGTCTGACCTGTCAAAGATATTTGGGTCTTTTGACTTCATGTCAGACAGACAGACAGACAGAGACCTCTGAAGAGGGAGTTCAGCATAATGGTAGCATTTAATATTAAAACTGTGGTGGCCTTGGGGAGCGGGATAAGGTACGAGGCCAGTATTTAGTATGATGCATGTGTGAGAAAATGTCATGTCATGAGCTCAAATAATCTCACTGATCTTACAAATAGCCATGGAACTGAGCTTATTAGATTCTATGGTGAATAACCATGTGCTTAAGCACCGTGGGAGACCTTTATGACACAGATCTGCTATTGCCTAACACTGTACTCATGTAACTGTATCACATACTGTAGTCCTCCTGACCAGAACATGGGGACATGTTGTTTTTCTATGAGGAAACCTGTCAGGAGCTTCCCTACTTAACTAACGTCTTTAACTTTGCAAAAGCAAAAAACGAAAAAAAGAAAGAATTCAGATCCTTTTTAAGTAAAAGTAGTAATACAACAATGTAAAAAAAATACTTAATTACAAGCAAAAATCCCATATTCAGAATGGTAAAATTAGAGATGTATTATCAGCTAAATGTAAGTAAAAGTACTATTACATTGTGGTGATTCCACAGGTCTCCGCTTGGGGGAAAGGAGCCTGAGAACCAGTTACCACCCCATGATAAAAAATAAAAAAATCAACCTGGAGAACAAAACTTACAAGTACTTTAACAATAAGAAAAAATGCCTCTTTAATAATGAAAAAGAAATACTGATGCATCAATGTGTAAGCAGTGTTTTACTGTTGTAGGCAGTTCAGTAGTCTAGTTCAGTGGTTCCCAACCTAGGGATCGGGCCCCTTTAAAGGTCACCAGATGAATCATTATTTATTAATCATGAGATGATTAATGAGAGAGGAAGGAAGAACAAACTCAGTTCTGATACACACATTTAGGTTTATTTATTGGACGGCTCTCTCGAGTTCTTGTGCTTTCTCGTCTCGCAGGTTCTAATGGATCCTGGTGGAGCCTCCTGCCATGGTCCTATTGCCATTGCCAATACTGTTGTTACTGTGCACCTGTCTGTCTGTCTGTCTGTCTTTTGAGTCTAGGGGCCTGTCCACATGAATATGTTTTTCGAATCCGGATAGATGCTCTCTCTCTCTCTCTCTCTCTCTCTCTCTCTCTCTCTCTCTCTCTCTCTCTCTCTCTCTCTCACCCCAACTGGTCGAGACAGACGACCACCCACCTAGAGCCGAAGGATCTGTCCTAGGTTTCTGCCTAGGCAGTTTTTCCTTGCCCTTGTCGCCAAGTGCTTGCTCATGGTGATACTGTTGGGTCTCTGTAAATAATGTTATAAAGAGTTCAGTCTAGACCTGCTCTATTTGAAAAGTGTCCTGAGATAACTTCTGTTATGAATTGGCGCAATACAAATAAAATTGAACTGAATTTAATTTAATTAATCTTTTTGTGGAAAATTTGAACAGTTATTCAATTCTGTATTAGGTGGAACGACTAACAACACATCAGCATGGCAACTTTATTTGTATAGTACCTTTTCAGCTGCGTTGAAATTCAGAGTGCTTTACATAAGACATAAAAGGTGTTGAGACATAATTTAAGAGAAACATAAGACAATACAAGACAATATAAATAAGATTTAAAAGAGTAATAGTCATCTGAAACATGACAAGTGGCCACAGAGGAGACAGTGAAGTGTTTTATATAGCAAATCTTCATGTTAGAAAGTAACTATAGTTGTCAAATAAGCCTAAATATAGTGCAGTAAATAGTACTAGTAAAAGAAAAAGTTAGTAGTAGCATGAAATGTAAATAGTCAAGTACCTCACATTTGTACTTAAGTACAGTATTTGAATAAATGCACCATGGATCAAAAGTAAAAGTACAATAATTACTGCATTAATGTGTAAGGAGCATTTTACTGTTGTTACTAGCTGGTTTAGATGGAGATAATTTAACTATTTGATATACTGTTGGGTAGTTTAATCTATAACAACGCAGCATATTTGTTTTGGATGTAAATCATTTAATCTGTAAATAATAAATGTAGTGGAGTAAAAAGTAGACTATTTCCCTCTGAACTGTAGTAGAAGAGTACTTGAGTAAATGCACAGTTCATTTTACTGAGCAACACCATGACATGTAGGCTACAGTAAGCGTAACATTAGCGGAAGAAACTTATTCTGCTGTCTGCTCCCAGTCTCACTTCCTCCTCTATAGTGTGAAGAGTACAGTATTTCCACCTCCTGCAGCTCATACCTAGCTCCACACTGTAAACCAGGCTTTCACCTACTATTCATTTTATTTATGTATCTATACAGACTCCTTGAGCTTTTGGAGAACTGCCCTCAGAAATACAGACGTCTCTCCTTTGCCCCCTACAAGGAGCCAGGAGTTTAGGAAGTCATCCATCCACACGGGGGAACTGTCGAGCTGTTTCCACTGAGCTCTCAGCTCTGACAGAAAGACATGTCTCTTTACCCTTGTATTTCTTCTGAGTGACAATAAATCTATAATAAATCTCGCTATTTCTTCCATAAGTAATAACATGGTTACAATTTGTTAATCATTATAGACAAATGTTTATTTCATGTGATTGTAATTTATATGATTACATATGACAAATAAACTTGATTGATTGATTTTTCCACACTCAGACCAACACACCTAGAGCTAGGCTGGATTCACTTACCAATAATCTGTCACATCAAGTGACATTTTGAAAATTATTAATAGGCAAATAACAAGCTTGATTAAACAGATAAAATAAATACTCAATCATATGAAGTCAGTCAACATTGGAGTGTATTGTAAAATAACTTGAATTAAACTTTATATTGTATTGTATTGTACTCTATTGTATTATATGGTTTTCTAATTGTTCACCAGAGTCTTGCTTTAGCCTGTGTCACTTGTGTAGTACACAATGGTTTTACCCTGATTTACTTGTGCAAAAACACTTAGCACAGATTGCTGTGATTGACAGTTGTACACATACAGGTAGGCTACACCCCCACTATTCCCACAGCAGAGGACAACTGGAGCAGAGCTGAACCTAGTACAGCCACATTCCTAACTGTTGCACAATCCAGCCAGAGACAGTACAGAAGGGAGAGAAGTGTTGCCACGCAGCCACTTGATGGCAGTATAGGATTATGCTGCAGCCATGCAGAGACTGATGTAAAAACGTAAAAAAGTTTAAAAAAAAAAAACCTTGGCTTCAGTCCCTTATGTGGAACATTTCTAGGGCACACAGGGAAGGGATTGACAGCTGGAGTTAAACTTATTTAGAAAGAGTGGATTGTAATGAATGTAACAATCTAACAAGAGTAAATTTTAGTTCTCAGTTACATCCATCTGCATTTTCTGTGAATGCCTCCTCTGGGGAAAAACCATAATCTGCACTTTGCTCACACGCCCACATGGTAGCTTTTCTCCAAAACACAGCGACAATAACTGTGCGATGTTATGGAGACAGATGGGTCCAGTCTCCAGTGAACTGTCAGCCACTACAGGACAAAATCTCAGCAGCGCTGTGGAGAGTAATCTAACCAAGTTTTTATTGCTACTGTTGACTGAGTCAGGCCTTTCTTATTAAAGCAAGAGTGTGCACTGTGCATGCTTGTGTGTGTGTGTGTGTGTGTGTGTGTGTGTGTGTGTGTGTGTGTGTGGAGAGGGGACAGTGTGTGGAGAGACAGTGAATATGCCTGTGTGTCTTTATACAATGTGTCTTTGTGAGTCCTTGGCTTTGCGTTGGAGAGAGAGAGAGATCTGGCCGTTACTAGAGAGAGAGAGAGAGAAGAGAGAGAGGAGTGGTTGGGGGTCTTCTCTTTCTCCGTAATATCTTTTCAATGTGTCTCTGTACCTTTGTTCCATTTTTAACCTCTATTGTCCCCCCCGCCCGTGTCTTTTCATGACCCTCTTTATTAACAGGCCATTATGAGTTCTCCTTTTTTCTGACAGCCTACACTTATTCCTCTAACTCCATTAACTCTTCCTCCTTCCTTGTACCATTTCTTTCACTCTTCCTTTGATGCTTCCTTCCTTCTTTTCTTTCTAACAATTCTATTTCACTGTACATGACACAGGGAAAAGGAACAACTAAATAGCTTGTCTTCCTTGTTAAACTGAACACAAAAAAGCAGAATGTCTGATTAGATCTCACACTCACTCCGGTTACATTACCCATGAATGTAAACTATCCCTTCCACTCCCCTTCCTCATCCATTAAATCCCCCTCTCTTTTTTCTGTATCTCTCTTATTAAATGCTACTTCCTTTTGCTGTGCTTGTCCTCTTTTGCTTCTGTTCCTCTCTCAGCTTTATTCGCCTCATTTGTGGTCCTATCAAAGGGGGCTCGCAAGGGCACCACAGCTGTGTCAGAAAGGTTTATTTAAGTAGCACGTCTCATTATAGACGAACACAATGTGCTGAATATTAAAATACAACCAGCAACAAGTAACATGCAACAGTATGCAGGCTGATCTGTGAAGCTGTATTTGTGAGGAACAGCGGTGCTCGTTCACCATGTTAGTTTAGCATGTCAGCATGCTAAGATTTGCTGAATAGCACTAAACACAGAGTACAACTGAGGCTGATGGGAATGTCGTTATAGGTATTTGGTTATAAATCAAAGTACTGGACAAATTACAAGTGTGACCTGGTGATGGCACTAAATGCAAAGTTAAGGGTTTACTGAAGTTATTACAATTCATCCATGAAGATGTGTACCAAATTACATAGCAACACATCCAATAATTGTCAGGAGTTGTCACTAAAAACTAAAACATTAACCTGCTGGTGGCGTTTGAGGAAAACTCAGAGAATCGTCTAAGTCTTTAGGGTTCATTGTCTGGGGATCATGAATGTGTAAACCAAGTTCTATGGCAAACTATTCATAGTTGTCAAAAAATGGCAACAAAACCCTCACAAATGTCCATCAAATGGTGGCACTACAGGAATAGACTTCATTCGTTTAACTGACAAGGGAATGGGCAGCCTCAGCCCTCTTATATATATATATATATATATATATATATATATATATATAAATATGACCATGGAGATGATGGACCCTGGATCTTCAAATGCAAAACCTCACCAGAAAAAAAGAGCTCTGACTGGACTGAATGTAGTGGGAAGCCAAACAATTAAGAAGAAATATGAAGTTGATTCTGAGAAGAAAGTAAAAAGAGCTTGCTGAACCACATTTACTCCTGTTACAGAGCCTAATCCCATATTTATTCAGATGAGTGCCATGTTCATATGTCACACTGACCAATGGGAACTGGACACCTGTTGGAATGAGAGAGCAGGAGGTACAGGAAAATACAAAGGAGGAGAGAAGGAGTGTTTTAACTGGAACAGAGAGACCTAGAGAGAGAACGTAGTTGTAAAAAGAGACAACAGGAGGAAACAGAGAGAGGGCTGCAGGGAGGGAGGAGGCGGTCTATTGACACTGCAGGTGCCTGCACTTCAAACATAATGTTCAACACAACAGTGTTTGACTAAAAAGATTATTCACGTGTGTGTATACATATGAGAGATAGTGTGTGTGTGTGCATTTTATTATGCACAAGAGAAAAACAATATCCCTGCTTATGCATGTCTTCTGCGCTGTTGAAAGAATGCATATGCATGTGTCCATCTTGTATTTGTTTGTTGTTATTTGAGAGGTTGGATGTTTGTGTGTGTGTGTGTGTGTGTGTGTATGTGTGTGTATGTGTGTGTGTATGTGTGTGTGTGTGTGTGTGTGTGTGTTTGTGTGTGGTGGTTCAAGATCAGATTAATCAACAAGTGTCTGGACTCAGTTACAGGACGGATTTACACAGAGACACAGACACACAGCTCAGATATACAACACAAACACACACACAACTACCTCAATGCCAATCTGTCTAGCTGCTGAATTGTTAAACAATCTATCTCCCACAGGATGTGTGCACCTCCTCGGGGTCATGTAACCCTGACACCAGCAGTTTCTGGACACAAATAGGGAATCATGTGTTCATAGATTATTTCAGGTTTATATTATGTGGATTTTCTTTGGATTTTACCTTCCCCGCTATGGTTCTGGTCAAGGAAAAACACACGGCCAGTCAGTCAGTCAGTCAGTCAGCAGGCTGCAGCATAGCAGACATTCCTTTTGGGTGTAGTTAGGGAGTTGGAGAATGGCAACGGTTGCCAAAAAATCTGTTGCTCCGTAACATTTTTTTTATTTCTTTTATGAGAAATCCAAGTTGTAATGTTGCTTGGCAGCGGGATTTGGTCGGGATTGGACTTCAACTGTGCAGCCTCCTTTGCTCTCACGCTTCTTAAAACATGATACGCTGCCCCTGAGCTGGAGGGGAAAGTTACCTGATGACTTTCAGTGGCTTCAGTTACCTTCTTCTAAATTATTTCCTGTTTACCTATTTCAGATTTAATATATTCATTTGTAAAATATATCTTTAATCTCACAATCTGACTGCCGGCACCCAACCACTTATCCCCTATTGCTTCAAAATTTCAGTTCAGGCTGATTACTTTGTAGTTCCAATGACGGTGATAACTGCTAGCATGTTTTTAATAACATTATTGCAATTTAAAGAATTAAAACAGAGATACAGGTTTATTTAATGTATCCCTTCATTTTTGGCTTGTGGCCCCTCTTACCAAGAGAGATGAGAACACTGATACTGCTTTCATGACGATACTGTAAATATGAAGGCTTGGAAACTACATTTTATTAACAGAAAGCCTATTTTACAACGTTGCGAAAGACATGTGGCATTTATGTTTAACGAAAGACACCTTAGAGATGCATCACGGGAAGTGTAGGATCCAGCCTTTTTGGGAGCTTGACTTTATACAAGGCACCAAAAGCCTCTGCTGCTTTGATTTTTACATTTCTTTGTTTAATCTGCCTCTCACAAGTTGCCCAACTTTATGTAGGCTCGATACTAAATCACTGGAGGACCCCTTTAAGTGCTAGCAGACTGTCTGACTGCATTTGGAGAGATTTGGAGAAGTGATGAAGTTAACAAAAAAGGTGTGTAAACTTGTTGCAATGGTCAGCATAAATAGGGTATAAGGAAAAAAATCTATGTCATTTCAGAAAGAGAAGATACACACGGTCATTTGAATGTGTGGATACTGTAGATTTTAGGAGACATGCAGACAGTGTGGCAGACAGAGGAACAGAATTAAAACACACCCCTTTTACCCAAATTCTGACTCCCCCTCCCTCTCCCTTTGCTCATTCACTCAGCGCTATCTGACGCTGTCCTTCTCCCTCACACTCTCCTCTCGGAATCCTCTCTTTTTTTCCACAGAAAACATGCAGAGAGGAGAGGAGGAGGAGAAAAGTAGAAACGCGTCGGAGGCGACAAGAGAGAGAGGAAGCAGAGAAAGTTGGTAGAGGAGCGAGAGGGCGAGAGGAGAGGAGAGGGGTCGACCAGATGGGAGGAAGGAAGGAAAGGATCTCTCTGCGGGCTCAAGTGCGCGATTAAAGGATTCATCATAAATAAACAAATATATGAATCAAAGCCTATAATAAAAAAAGGGGAGTTATAGGCGCGCTACCGCGTAGCGTGGACGCGGACAAGCCAGACAGCGGCGGTGCGCGCTGAAACAGCCAAGTTGTGTGTTTCTCTCTCTGGATTTTACTCCTCATGTTCTTCAAACTCTCGATGAGGTTCACTAACTTTTAAGGACAGCGTCTGAAAAACTTTCCCTCCCCTCGGCCCTCCAATTAACGCTCTCTCCCCGGGAAAAAAAAACCTAAATAAAAGAGGCTCCGGGGTGGAAGTGGAGGAAGGAAGAGCGCTTTTGTTCCTTCCGAGGAGTCCAGCTCGCCGTAGCCGGGGTTTAGGCGTTGGCACCTGGGCAGGGAGTCCCTCGCCATGGCCGGGGCCAAGCCGGGAGTCCATGCGCTGCAGCTCAAACCCGTGTCCGTCCACGAAGCGCTGAAGAAGGGGGGCAAATTCATCAAATGGGACGAGGTGAGAGTGACATGTTTTCAAGTGTGTTGTTTTATTCCCAGGCGGCACTTTCGCTACGGTGGAATGAATCAGATTGCTTCCTGATCAAGAAGTGCTCCTGATGTGATCAACTCTGAGAGACAGACAGGAGACATGACAGCCCTGCTCTTTGACAGTAGGCCCACTGTTATGAGGTGACACACGAGACTGACTGAGTGTGTGTGTGTTAGACATGCACAGACACGGATCGTGTGTGTAGGTAGGGTGCAGGTGTGTGTAACCTCTCGGTCCTGCGCTGAGCACAGAAGCCCACTATGTGTGTGTGTGTGTGTGTGTGTGTGTGTGTTAATCAGATACTCCAGCAGAAAATTCCCCTGTAGTTACCAGCAGGCAGCGGTGCTTGAATGTGTGTTGTGTTGAATTCTCGTCGAGCCGGTTTTTCTCGGGCTCAGGTTCAGCTCAGACGCCCTCTAACACGCTCTTTTCTCCTCCTTTTTGTCCCCTCTCTCTCTCTCTCTCTCTCTCTCTCTCTCTCTCTCTCTCTCTCTCTCTCTCTCTCTCTCTCTCTCTGTCTGTACTTTCCACCCTGCTCACCCAGCGGGTGAAGAGGAGGAGAGCACCTGTCTGAGTGGAGCTCTGTAGAAGTTGCGCCTCTGTGAGGGATTCCACTGTATCTTGAGCTGTAAAACACACTCTGAAATATCACCCCTTTTTTTTTTTTTAAATTTAATTAACTTAATTGTGTGTATTCTCTGACTTTTTAAATCCTGTCAAAACAAAAGGTTTGAATGATTTCCACTGCTCTACCTTTCTTTCCGCGTATTTCTGCAGCAGCCCTGACATGCGCCTGCCCGTGTCATTGACCTTAGTGTGTGTGAGTGTGTGTGTGTGTGTGTGTTGGGGTTTTCAGAGACAGAGTGCAGGGCCATTCTGCAGTCTTCTCCATAGAGAAAGTAGGCGTGTGTGTCCATGTGTCTGAGTGGCCATCAATGATTAACTGAGTTGCTGGCTGATCTGGCTCTGAGCTGTAGGCCTGTGTCTTCCATTTGGAAACCCCTGTCTTGGATTTACAATAGGGTTGCATGCAAGTGTGTGTGTGTGTGTGTGTGTGTGTGTGTGTGTGTGTGTGTGTGTGTGTGTGTGTGTGTGTGTGTGTGTGTGTGTGTGTGAGAAAGGTCCATAGTCCCAGTGAGCCTGTTATCATACATGCACTTTGCAAATAGAAGGTCAACTGTGGCGTTGATACTAAAAATTCATGCACACACAAAGAAAAATGGACAACACGCGTGTTTGAAAGTAAAACAACTTATTAACAACAGAGCTTCACACACATTGTAATGATGAAGTGATGTGTGTGTGTCTGGCCTCTGAAAAAGGGTCCTGTCACGCAAACAGTGAATACCATATCCTTTTGATTTCCTTTCTTTCTCTCCCTCTCTCACACACACTAACTCTCTCTGTTTCTCTGTCTCTCAAAGGGAATTCCCAGGAAATGGTTATGTTGGTGATTAAGTGTGTGAACACTCAAAACCATTCACATGCTTTCTCCTTGTCTATCTTTCAAACCCCCCCCCCCAATTGCTGTTTCCCACTAAAATCAACAAATGAATTGATAGGGAGAGAGAGAGAGAGAGAGAACACTTTGGGGAGAGGAGGGATGTGGCAGATAAGAGTGAGAAAAAAGAGAGGCCCATGTTGTGGGACTAGATATCAAAGATGCTTCATTGTTAAATATAAGTGCTTACAGTCTTCAATCAAGTCTATAGCAAAATCTCGAACTCCTTTTTAAACCTGGAAGCCGAATAAAGTTGTGTACAAAGAGCTCTTCCAGCGTTTATATAACCCAAGTTGAGTTATTCAACCCATTTTGTAATCCTCCTTTATGAGATATGTTTAATGCAAAAGCAATGCTTCTACTTTTCCTGACAAGGAACTGAGTAAACTGTAGATCCTTCTGTTTTGTCCCATTAGGCCATCGTGCACATTTCCTGCCAAATCCATAAAGTAAACGCTGTGTTAAGTTGTTGTGAGTAAGAATAAGAATTATTATTTGATTATTTAAGTCAGTAAGTAAGTTGGTAATACGGTGACGACTGGACTGTTCTCTGCACATCAAGGTAGTGTTCAAACAATCACTTATTTGATTCACAGAAAATTAACTGTGAACATTTTAAATTATTAATCATTTAAGTTGTTCAGGTAAAATGCTTAACGTTTGCAAATGTGAGGATTTGCAGCTGTTCTCTCTCATTACAAACTGAATATCTTTTGAGTGTTGGACTATGAAACTTGAACATGTCACCGTCAGCTCTGGGAAATTGTTTGCATTGCATTTTTCTCCAATGTTTATGGACAGTCATAAAAGTAATTGCAGTTGCAGCCCCACAGTGCAGTTATCCTGCCAATATTACAATTGTAATCCTGCTCAGTGAAATACACCTTCTAATAATCCTGTTTTCTGCAAAATAGCCAAATCAATAACATCGATGGAGTGTAAAAGCAAGACTGTCAGTCTTCTTGATAATCACCTTATATGCTCACTTTTGTCATAAACTTATCCCAAAATCAATCCATTAATGATGTATAGCTCCTGGGCAGCGTCGAAACACCTAAGGAAACCAATATCTAAAAAACGAGAAAATAAGCTGTGCAGCTAAATGTTGAATTTTATTTTGTATTATGTTTAACCCTTATTTAATCACAAAGACAAGAGAAACAAGATAAACCTAGCCAAAATGGCAGTTAACACAGATTTACATAAAAAAAAAAACCTCTCACATAGCGATAGCATAAAAACACAGGAGGGATAAAGGAGAGAGCTCAACTCTTTAACACAGTTGAATTCTTCATGAAACCTTTTCTTAATATGGCATTTGAATGCCTGGTATGAAGGCAGTGTTTCCAAATCTTGTAAATTATTCTGTAGCCAGGGTACGTAGCACGAAAATGCAGGTTTTACAAGTTCTCTGGGGACACTGAAGGTCATCCATTTCTAATTTAAGCACGAGTCAATCTGGATTTGTTGTGCAGCAAACAAAGGAAATTTACCCAAATTGTGCCACAGAAATAATTAAACTCCCAGAAGCAATTGGTTTTGTTTCCACAGTGAGTTGCTTAGAATGTATTAAGGTTAATATTTAAGATGTATTGATAACCTGGACATATAATAAATCTAATAAAAGAGCTGCTCAGTGTCAGAGCAGTGTTTTTAAGGTGTTCTCGTGGAGCTCAGGAATAATGGTCTACTGGGGACACTTGGTTTATTTTAGTGTCTGTCTGTGTTCTAACAGGGAAGTTGACCAATGGGCCACTGTCCCAAAAACTTGGTGTATTCCTTTAAGGAGTTAGCAAAGTGAGAAAAGAATTAGGACACACACACACACACACACACACACACACACACACACACACACACACACACAGAAAGTGCCTGAGGGCAGTGCAGTGTGTTTACATGAACCCCACTTTTGACCCCATCCCACTCTTTTCACCCCCCTTCCCCATCACCGTGTCCTCCCTCCACATGGCTATCTTCTTCGCATCCCTTTATCCTTTAGCCGCTCTTTTTCTTCCTTTACTTTCCAATCCTGTACTCATCTGTCACTGAGCCTCTAGTGTTGTCTACTGTAGGTAGACGACACACACACACACACTGACTCATGCAGGGGAGGAGGAGGAGGAGGAGGAGGAGGAGGAATGCATTCCAAATTGACCGTCTTTCTTCTGTGTTTCGGCTTGTGTACACACTTGTGCTCACATATGCATGTGTGGTTGTTTTGTTCTGTGTGTGTGTGTGTGTGTGTGTGTGTGTGTGTGTGTGTGTGTGTGTGTGACTTCCTGTTTGAGCTTGTTGTAAGGCTCCAGAGCCAAACCATTTTCCTTCTCTCTCCTTCCCTCCTTCAGTCTGTTGCTGCACCGCCCTCTGCAGCCCGGCCACAATTCAATCTAACTGAATTCCAACTGGAATTCAGTTAAAATTCCTCCCAAACAACCAATTAAACAAACAGAGACAGACAGCTCGTCTACAGAGCAGCTCGCCTCGCTGTCAGTGTGCCATGGAGTGCCTTGATATGGATTTTAAAAGTACACAAAGATCAAACAAATAATAATCTTTACGCCTGACTTTAACATTTGTTAAATTTGACTCTGCAGTTTGTTTCCAGCTTTCATTCGGCTGGATTGTATTTGCACCTGGTATTCAAATACTCTTCCACTGTGCCACTTCCCTGTACGCTATGTGCCTATGAATGTAGAGTCTTTCAAAACAGGCACTGTTTTTGCGCAAAATAAACACTTTTTTTTTTGTCTTTTTGGTGTGATTCATATGGGAAAATTGCACTTTTTTTGGGGTATTTGTTTATGTTCTCATTGCACAATTAACAAGCAAACCAGAGCTCATAAACAAAGTCCCATGGGATCCCTGGTTGTTCATTAATTGGACAGAGTTTTGCGATCCCTGTGAGATTAGGTTTTGTCTTCAGTTCCAAATGCCTGTAACTTGAGCGACACATGATGCACCATAAAATGTTGCATTTTGAGGTTGTTTGGTGGGGGGGGATTATCCTGTTAGACCTTACAGACCGCACCGCAGTTCATTGGAGGAGCTTAGAACTATAATCTTGGCAACATCTGAGGCGGTAAAGACACTTCAGTGCTGCTGTTGTTGTCCTCAGTGTTCATCGGTACTGTGTTGTCAAACCAAACTGACTGCAGACACTTGTTCCCCATTCACAAATATCCTGAGCAGGCATTTTTGGATCTAATGTCTTCACCACCCTCAGCTAGTTTATAGAGACTCTCTTAAGTTCCTATGTGCTGGATTTTGAGTGATCCGTGCATTAAAGTTGATACTGAGTTGAAAAGTTGACAAAGACAGTCAAATAGGAAGTTCTCAACATGGTTTGGAGGCACTGGAGATCATTTAAAGCCAAATTATGGTCTATCAGAGAATCAAGGAAATGTATTTATCATTATACAACACAAGTTTGCAGTCCCTTCATACCACACACAAACAAAAATTA